ATTTGATTGCTTGGGTTATCAAAGCGGAAGTTACTTATTAATTAGCTCAGTCTATGATATATATATATATATATATATATATATATATATATTTATTTATTTATTTATTTACGACAGGAAAAAAATATTCTTGATGCTGGTGTTTCCATTAATCTTTTGCTTCGATTTCTTAAAGATACAATTGTTAGGTTTGTCTTTGAAAGGGTAACCTTACTGTTACTGTGTATCAGAAGGCGTTACCCAACATGACGCGTGAGTCATTATCGATTTGGCGATTTGAGAGGGAACTCAAATAGCCAGCAATTTTTAGCATTTCTGTAATCATTTGGGCGTTAACCCATGAAGTAACCTTGGGCGGACTATGCAGGGCTGAAGAAAAGCGAAATTTGCCTTTTAGTAGGGAGTAGGGGGAAGGACAATATTCCCTTTATTTAACTTCTTTCCTATTTCCTTAACACACGAACCTGGTAGCCTACTTAGATATACAAAAAAAACAGTTTTATCAATTTAGTGTTCCATAGATTTTGAAGACGCTGTGGTTCGCTTGCTTTTCACCGACTGCCTACAGGTGAACTAACTGTCTAACAGGCTTTTTAACCTATAACTGGAATCAAACCAGAGTGAATGAAATAATTCAATTTCAGTCCAAAGAAACTTGTCTCCTTTTTTGCGCAATTTTTTTTCCGAAATAGATCAAATGTATGTAATGATTTCGACCTTAATGCTGTAAAGTTTAGCGTGCGTGTATTCAACTTTCCAAAATATCACGACAACATTCTGACAATTGTAAATTACGACGCAGTGTCATATCAATATGTGCAATTTGTGATTAGTGGGAGAATCCTGTGATAGCCAATCTGCTCACGCATTAAGTTGACAGGTAGTAATTTCTATTTTGACAAATTAACTTGACCTTACTATTCTGCCAAGGTCATATTAGCACTGCTCACGCCAATAAACACCTTTGGAAAATCGAAGTAATCTCATTTGCTCATGCGTGATCAATAAACAATTAAGGTGAGCGGTAAATGAGTAATCTGAATTACACAAATTAGTAAGATTGTACGTCAATTTCATCTATCGATTCAAATGTTAACAGAGTGAATAATCATTTTAGTGTTACAGTTCCTGATGTATCTATTAGTCTATTCAATTCATAAATAAACCAATTTATAGCTTACTAAGTGTATAATACACGATGAAAACAAACTGCAATAATTAAAGTTTGAGTAAATAAGTTTGGAATTTAATTGTTTGATTGAAAGAAACAAGATGAAAATCTTGAAATCCACTCTTCTAACATGGTTATTAATTGGGCCAAAAAACGCATGCGTGGTAAGTGATTGACACCATCTTCAGTGTAATAAATAATTGGTGAAATGAATTTAATTAATTTCATGTAAATAGGGATTGATTTAATCCACGGAATTCTATTTGTCAATGGATCATTTATCAGTCCCCTCTCATCAACGCCAGTTGAATTTTGGGTTGAGCTAATTTATGCAATTAGCGTTTTTCCATTTTCGATCGATAGAATACGAGAATATAAAGCCTAATTTTCTTATTTAAATTAAAATTTGAGGTATTGAAATTTTTGAAATGACCTGTTTTCTACTTCTTTTATCATAAAGAGACCTCCAAAAAATAGTCTGTGCCGGACCACCGAAACTGGAAGGAAAAAATCTCTCTGAACTGACTGAAAAGGACCTTTGCCCAGTTGGTGAGCCAGACGTGAGTTCGGGCTCCTCGAAAAACACATTGGAAGCTTCTGGAAGTACCAGTGGCCAAGGTCAAAGTGGGGGCCTTAACCCTGGGGGCAGCGGATCAAATGGTGTCGGTGGATTGCAAGAAGGCGGTTGGAAGGAAGAGCAAACTAAAGAGGCCGGTGTTCGTACCGAGGTCATTATCGCCGGCGCAGTTGTTGGTGTTCTAGTGTTGGCTTTCGTTGCTTTTCTCATCATCTACAAATATCGCCTCTACCCCAAGAGCAAATCAAGGGAAGAGAGAACAAGTCGTACCCACCAAAATAAGAGATATGTGTAAGTTAAAACAAAATAATCTTCATCACAGACTGGATGACTATGCACTCTATTTACTTTATTAATATATGTATTTATTTATTTATTTCAAATAGCAGGCGTTTTGATAGCTATCATTAGCCCTTTAGCTGACTTCGGGCTTCACAGAGGGAAGGTTCATCAAAGTGGCAGAAAGTCGAGGGGTGGGGAACAGAAGAGCGATTCACAGATGTAAAAGAGACAGGCAGACACAAAGGTAGAGATAAAGGCAAGATGAGTACTGTGAAGGGGTCGAATATGACAAGCAGTCGGGTCATAGTACTTTGAAGTCAGAAGTCAACTGCCGGTTAATAGACTTTTTTGCCGTATGAGTATACGTTGTTCAGGGTGCATCACGTGGAGGCAAGTCTATCTCACACCCCATTTTACTAAGATATATATTAAGGTATCTTTACACTTGATCTTTTTTTAAATGAATCAAAAATATGACCAAGTAATTTAGTTTTAAGTTTTACATTTTTAATTTTAATTTTTAGTAATGTAATAGAGGAACCCCCACTGCAGCAATTCGGGGCAAACGGACGAGCTAAAGAGAATGGAAAGTATTCAGAAGGCGCGCCAGTTTAGTCAACTAGAAGATTTTGCAATTGATGGGGGAATAAACGACTTTCTACGACAATAAACAATCTAGCCCAATCCTCAAGCACCGGTACCGTCTAATCGGTGTAAATGTTACAACTTGATCCCACCTTCTTGACCGTCAATTTCTCTTCCTATTGAGAGTGATCAATAATCTATTGCTCTTAACCTCCTCTACCTAGATCTAAAACACTTTTGTACAGATTAATTCGCAAACAAAGCTCTCTCTCCCTATCTCTTGCGCTCTCTTCCTTACTAAATTGCAGATTTTACTGTAACAGCAGAGATCTTCCTGCAACTTGTATTTATTCATGCTGCCAAGCCAACCGGATATTCATCAACTCCCTACCCTTAACCAAACCCTCACCCCCC